TCACCAGGGGAGAGGGCAGCGCCTGCGGCAGCTGCCCTACAGGCAGGCAGGCTGCTGGGCTTGTAAAAGTGCAGTAGGGAGAGGGGAGCCTGAAGGGAGATGGGATCCTCTGCACAGCCACTGCCTGACGTGGCAGAGGTGCCGCGAGGTTGCAGGCGAGTTTTTTGGCTGCAAAGCAGGTCTTCATCAAAACACTGACCTGTGTGATGAACCCCCACGTCCTGACCTTGGGCAGCTGCCCTGCCAGACTGGGGACTGGGCATGCACCCGGGTGGGACAGTGGGACGTGGGAGAGAGCACACCCTGCTGTCCTGCTCCACCGACAGGCTGAGGATAATTAACGGAGGTGCCAGTGAGTGATTTATTGGTTCTGGGACCCTCCGTGCCCCTGCCGCTTGCAAGCTGCCTGGCTCTCCCTGCCTGCTCCTCCGACGAGAGCCTCTCAGGATGGGGAGGAAAAGGCAGGCAGCAGGCATGCCTGCAGAGGAATACACACCTTTTAATTTATTTCACTCTGTGGTCAGCTTTCTAGTATCTGATAGGACCTTCCAGAAGCCAGAAGACCACAGACACGTCCCCACCCATCTTTACCGCATCCCTGAGTGGGAGGGCGTGGGGTGTCCCTGCAATCCCCATGGCTGCCCCTTCAGCCCCCTCGCTTTGCCCCCCCGGCAGGTCCGTCTCTGCCTGCTGTGCGTGGGGACCTCCCTGGTGTTTGGCCCCGTCCTGGGGAAAAGCTGGCGGCTCTACAAGGTGTTCACCCAGCGGGTGCCGGACAAGCGGGTGGTGAGTACACAGCACCCGGGGGGAGGCAGAGTCCCCAAGCAGGATGAACACTAGCAAGTCCCAAACTGGTGCAGGATAGCAGATAAAACCGGCCCATGACAGGGATGGGTGCCACAATCACAGGTTTGCTTTCACACCTAGGTGGGTTTGGGCTCCTCATTCATTCTTGCACAATGAGGCAGGAGCTTTTCCACTCTACAGGCAAGCGGGTGCCCTGCCAGGCTGCCTGCTCCCCGGTGGAGTCCCAGCCGCATCACTGTCTGATCTCTGTGGACAAAGTTGGTGGGTGGTCAGGCATTTGGAGGTACTGTTTAAACAAATAGAAAGAAAAACAAGCCAGAAAGCCTTCTGGGCACTCTGAGTTGGGTTTATGTCAGGCCTATTACAGAGATGAGGTTCCGCTGCAAAATTTCCAGGTCTGTGCACCCAAACCTGGCAAGGGATAGCTGGTTGTAGGGCTTTGGTTTGCCAAGCAGTGGGGTCTGGTGGATGATCTTCACCAGCCCGTGCAGGTCCACCTGGGTGACACAGGAGAGGTCCATGGCATCTGCAGATCCTTTAGAGAGGCCCTGTTCTCATTTTACATCGGCAATGTGCCTTCATTACGCTACACGCTGGTGTTTGTGTCCAGGTCTGGGCTGATTGTTTTTGTGGGATGAAAATAAGCCAGGTATTCTCAAGGGCATCTGATGTAGGGCTGCCGCCAGATGCATCTGATCTCCTCTTGAAGGGAGGGAAGGAACTCCTCTGCAGCGCTGAAGAAAGGGGATACAGCAGCTGGGAGGGAAATGGGAGCCACCTATTTGTGCATATAACAGCGCACTTACAGCTTCCACTGGCCACTTCCCAATGGTGAAAAAAGTAGGTCTCAGAGGAAAGGTGAGACAGGAGGGGAACTGGGTATCAGCAGGGACTCCCGTTCCTGAGGCACTGGGATCTGTGTTAAACTTGCAAAATTATAATCCTACCAGCCTTTTTTTTTTTTCCCCCTCACCCTTTTTGTCTCTGCTTGTGATATGGGCATAAGGGATGATACTCTTGTTTTGGAAGAGCTGTTTTCTGTCGTAGCATTTACCAGCTAGCCACACCATCAGGGAGGGTTTATACCTGTCCCCAAGCCCAATTAGGTCTCCAAGAGTTTGGGAGCTGGAGACAGAGATCCTGTGGCCAACTCGGATGTAGGTGAGCCGCTGGACTCCACTCTGGGAGAAGTATTAGGATGGATGTGTCCCTTGGAAGAAACAACCAGAAAGCGAACCGGGAGACAGAGGATATTGGTGTCCATTAGCCCCCCTTGGTAACGCTTACTTCTTGTGTTTTTACAGATTATCAAAGACCTCCAGTTGCTGGCAATGGTGGCAGCATTGGTGCTGGCGGACGCCGTGTTGCTCTTGACGTGGGTATTCTCTGATCCGGTCCAGTGTTTCCGAAGCCTCAGCGTCTCACTGCGGGTAAAGGGATGAGGAGGGGCGGTGGAGTGTTGCCCTGTGATCTCTGTGTACAAAGTTGGTGGGTGGTCAGGCATTTGGAGGTGCTGTTTAAACAAATAGAAAGAAAAACAAGCCAGAAAGCCTTCTGGGTGCTCCGAGTTGGGTTTATGTCAGGCCTATTAGAGAGATGAGGTTCCGCTGCAAAATTTCCAGGTCTGTGCACCCAAACCTGGCAAGGGATAGCTGGTTGTAGGGCTTTGGTTTGCCAAGCAGTGGGGTCTGGTGGATGATTCACCAGCCCGTGCAGGTCCACCTGGGTGACACAGGAGAGGTCCATGGCGCCTGCAGATGCTTTAGAGAAAGGTTTAACTGGCCCTGTTGGCAGCGGAGTGCCAAAATCTTCCTCGCTTTAACCCTCTGTCCCTGGCAGCACCAGCTTTGGCCTTTCCTTTTAGGAATTTACAGAGGAGACCTGCTCAAATGTGTAGACCTGTCTGCCCATCGGTCTGTGCCTGCTCCCGGGCAGCAGCCTTCACTTCTGCCTTCCGCTTGCCTCCTAGGTGACAGAGAAAGGCATGGCCTGCTCAGTGAGCCAGGTGCAGTCCTGTGCATCTCTTTATTCCGATCTTTGGCTCATTCTCATTTTAGGGTTTAAGGTACGTAACCTCTTTATTGATTCTTGCGTTGCATCTCGCCTCCTCCCAGTCTCACAGCCTAAACTGTTCAGCAGCATTCGTTGTTTCACTGCCCTCCCAAGCTACATGCCTGTTGCAGATTCCAGCTACTCCTGTTCATCTTGAAAGCCCTCCCATCTCCAGTCCTTCCCATCCTGATGTTTTCTTGCATTCCCTTGTAAAAGCCCTGTTAGCCACTTTTTTCCCTGCCTCACCATCTCTTTTACATACACTGTGCACATACTGTCTCTCTAGTTGTCTCCCTGCAACCCCCCACACCTCATCTATCTCCCTGCTTAAAACTTGGGTCTTACTGTTTTC